TGTGGTGGTTACTCTGCAGAGTTTCGCACACTTGATAGCATAACAACAACAGAACATTTCTGAGGCGGGGGTCTCCAAGCGGCTGCGTCTGCCTGCAAAACCAGGCAAGGGGTCCTCTTGTGGTCGCATTTTAAAGACCATGCGCACTCGGACAGGCGGGGTGTTGGGGAAAAGTAGGAAAAACAACATAAATTGAGGTCACTCACAGAACAGTAGCTTAGGCTGTCGAACATGGCAGGCAGTGGCCAATCAAACCTGCCCTAAAAAACAGGACAGAAAGTACTAAAAATAGAGCACCGATGTCTGTGCCTTTTAAAAATAAAAGTTCAGAAGTTGCCACATTCTTCTTGCAAGAAAAGTTAAAGTAATAAGAGGAATGTACAGTCCGCAGCATTATCCACGAATGTAAGCAGAATAATGAGGGTTCTGCTGCGTTGGAAAAAGCACCATGGCTGATAATAGAAGTCCAAGGCTTGATATAATGGTGTCCCAATGCTCAGGTGCCATCGTGGGTTGCGTATAGGAGAAACTGGCGACAAATATTCTAACTAGTAGGAGAGGGAAAAGAGTAGCAATCTAGAACTCTGAGGCTCTCTGTAAAACATTTTCAGAGCTTGCAAAAAAAAAAAAAATCTCAAGCGCTCTCTGCTGCGGCAGTCCTTTTTTTTTCTTTTTAAATAAATGACACAGATGCAAAGTTCTGAGACAGGAAAGTGAAACTTCCTGCGGAAATTGCTCCCTGAAGCAGTTGCTTTATGGTACGGCCTGCTTCAAGATTTTCCCTGGCCTGGTTCATACCCAGCACTAACCCATGTTGTATTCTAGGTTGCTGTGATAGGTATACACCGCCACATTCACAAACCATGGTTTGTTAGGCATAAAAAAAACTTGAAAAAAGAAACCCATAGTTTGTTGGTGGGTTGTCATTGCATGCAAACGCAGAACCATGGGTGGCTTATTGATGGTTTGTAGCAAGGATGGAATCCCCCAGCCACTCTGCAATGACTATAAAACTGCAAAGGCTTTTGGGATACCAGGAGGGGGTGGAAGTGGGAAGCAAGCAACCCAGAAAGTGAGAAAATAAGCCACGGCCTGTCTGGACAAACGCTGGGTAGAACATGGGTCGAATCATGGGTCGGGTTAGCATTATTCGTAGGTCTCTACTTTGACAAGCCCTTAATCTTAAGGTCAATTAAGCACACAAAGCTTTTGTCCCGCTGCTGGGCTGGGCATGTCAAAAGGGGAATGGTGGTGATTTGCACGCAGGTGTGTCCAGTGAGACTGTTCTTTTGATGGAGACAGGAGACAATTCTGCCGTTGCTTCACAGCGACCAGGCCTCTCCTCTTCGGGCATGAAAGCAACAGCTCTGCTGGGAACCTTAACTGCCAAAGCACAGCGCGATGAGTCAGCCGCGGAAACTTTGAACCAACTCAGAAAAGGGGTCTTTACTCTTTACGGTTTGGGCAACAGCTGCGTAACCTGCTCTGCTAGCAGCTCTGCCCAACTTTTCCTCGTCACAGTTCTCAGGTGACTACAGCAATTAGTACAAACTACAAACGCCACCTGGTCATTCCCTAAAAGGACACACTCAGGAAGATTCCAGACTGCATAGGACTATATGAAATATATGTTAAGTTGCAACAGGTGAGAAAATGCCATGCCCCACAGTTAGCTAGATATTGAAATATTTTTCTTTAAATATGCTTGGTTAGGACTTGTTTGACCTAACAGGATGTCAAAGAGAAGGAAAGGCTTGGAATTTGGGGAAGCCGAGGAAATACGCTGTTACAACTTCCCTCTAATTCAAAGACTGGACTCTTTCCCCTGCCAGGAATGTTCTGCTCTCCTCCCAGTTTGCTATTATTATTTTGCCGGCTTTGCTTTGCTTTGTTTGCTAACTATGCAAACAACTTTTCATTCACTGACACTTCTGAGTAACATTTCTTGCTCGTTCCAGGAATCTCGTTCATTATTCCAGCAAAGGCGGATTTTAGCTGGGAGAGAGAGATTTTGAAGGCAAGTGGCAGCAGGGCCAGTTTGGAGGGCTTTTCTTTCGGGAATAAGGAAACAATATTTTCATGTGGTATATTAAACTGTACAGCTGTCTCGTTTAATAAAAATTGAACATGACATCTAGCTGCCACCGCTGTGTATAATTATTGCTAAAGGACAGCCCTACTGAAAAAAAATCTAGAGGTAAAAGCACAAGGAAAAAAGAAACAGAATCAAAGCACAATGCTTAGGATTATAGTTATTCCTCTGGAGAATTTATGAGCATATGTTTGATCCATAAGGAATGTGTTTCTATTGCTCATGGATACCGAGCACAAGCTTAAAGAGACAAATGCTCCCAACTCACCTACAGAAGATACCTGGGCCGTGCTCTCTGAAAGGAGTGCCAAGGTTTGAGGTATGTTTGCGGCAGAGAGGGCTCAGGTTTCAAAATGGTGTCAGACAACAAACCCCAGCAAAAAGTCGTTGCTTTCACCCTGTGTTCTCCAGAAGAGACTCACAACCACATCCACCCAGTAGCTGGGGGAGTATGCATGACACACACCTAAAAGCAGTCTCGGCTTGAAGGACTGTGGGAAATTGGCACAGTAGCAGGCACCTTATGCACATGTGCGTTCTTGAACTTTTACATCCCTCAGAGTTTTCATGCACCGGATGTACTAGTTTCTTTTCTATATAAGTCCTGTTTCATAATGAGTTATTAGTCTTTTAATACCATATATGCCGCTTCCCCTTTTCAATTACGGCAAGGAGGAGGAATGGAGCCTCGTGCCACTACATGGTCCATCATGCTCAGAACTGCCTACTTTGGCGGAGTCACACGCTACCCTCTGTTCCAATAATTTTTATAACTAGACTGCCGGAGCAGAAACTTGGAACCTTCTCCTTGCGAGAGAATACGCTCGAAAAAGCATCCCCCAGACAACACACAGGGTTAGTGCCACAAGATTTCTTTAAAGGCGATTTCAAAGGGATGCTAAAACTTTCAGTGCCTGCTAGTCATGATGGGTAGGTATTACCCCCAAGAGTGACCGCCGAGCACCAGTCACTAGAGGACTCCAGCAGAAGAGGGCTGTTCCATGCGGGCTTCTTGTAAGCTTCTGGTTAGCCACTGTGGGGGGGAAAATATTCAGGGCTAGGTAAGTCTTTGATCTGATCCAGCAGGGCCATATATGGCCCAAAGCACCCGTGAGAGTCTTCCCACCAAAGGTTGCCTTAGGCCAAGCACAGACCTCTCAGCTAGCTTCTCTCACTGGGCCACTGTGAGGCTTAAAAGCACAAGGCGTGAAGAACCTCTGTGAGGGCAGCATGAAGTTGGATCGGGGCCACGTGTGATCCTGGGTTGCCCACCCATGGCCTAAAGATCCCTGGCAGAAGGTGTGCAATAGAAACATAATAGTAAAAAATTAATAATCTCCTTGATCACCTTGTTCCACAATTTCTGCATGAACACACACCCAAAACGGAATACAGAGGTCCCAGGCCGTACCCCCATCTACTGTATGAAGCCTTTTCCCTAGCTTCCACCTCCCGCTCCCAAAATATATGGAAAGCCATATGTGTGGAAACCACAAGTCTTTAAAGTGCCTCCCACCATGTGCTGGAGCTCAAGACTCCTTCTGTGAATCGTGGTGCAGCAGTGAAGGCACTGGATTTGGACTCCAGTGAGCCAGGAGTGGCCACTAAACTCGCTGGGTGACTTCAGGCCAGTCTCAGCCACCCCTACCTCAGAGGGTTGTTGTTGTGAGGATAAAATGGAGGAGGGCAGCTATGCAAGCTTCTTGTTAGGAAAAAAAAAGGAGGACAGAAATGTGAAGTAAGAACAGTAACAGACACGGTTTTTGCAGTGAAGGAGACATAACGAATCACAAGAGGAAGCTCCAAGTACATGAAGAATGCAGTGATATTTAAACCAAAATGGATATAAGAAGGGTAAAGTTACATAGTCTGCTCTTCTTGTTCGTAAGTATATTAGCGGAGGGTGGCTGCTGGACATAAAAGTCCAGCAGCTCCCAGAATGCCCCAGCCAACACAGCTGGGGTAAAAAGGAAATCCTGAAACTCCCAGCATGCCCCAGGCAGCATGGATGGCTGGGACATACTGAATGTGAGCTGCGGGCTTTTTTCCTGCCTAGGATTATGTCCCTTATGTAACATTCATACTCTCCCACCGTTTATTAATATCATACCCTTCCATCATATTTTTGAGGGCAGCTCAATGTCAGCAAGATCTCCTGAATTTATAAATCATACTCCAAATAGTTTCAGAATAATAAGACTTAAGTAAGAATATAATGATCCACATGGTGAGCATCCAAGCTCATTAATACTGATTTCATAGCTACTCCAATTTTCTTTGAACAAAGTTGGACAGCATTTCTTCAAAAGGATAACATGTGCTACAGCTCTCCAGTAAACTCTGCCAGGAGCCCCCTGCCCCCAAACCTGACACTGATCAAGCTAAAAGACCCCCCCCCCGCGCAAATAAGGAAGTAGGACACTGACCCTATAAGGACAACGCAACAAAACGCCCGTTTAAAGCAGCAGGAACCCCCTTTTTGCCCGTAAATTCTCCCCACACATTAAGGCAGTTCAAGTTAGACGCCCCCTCCCCTAATAAAGATATGGGCAAGAGCACCCCCCTCCACACCTATATGGAGAAAAGGGGGCAGTCTTGAGGGAATATCCCCCCACACACACACAGCTCTCCCCACAGGTAGAGACACCCCACCGTGCAGGGCCAGCCCCCCAAGAGGGCAAGCACACTCCGCCCCCCCGCCCTGGAAGCACCCCTATGCAGAGGGAGGGGCACTCCTGGGTGCACAGCCCCGCCTCCCACGGAAGGGGCCCTCCTATGTGGGGCCCGGGGCCTTCCCCCGCCCCCCTCCAGGCCCTCCGTGAGACCGGCCGCGGTGCCCCGGGGCGCCCCTTCGAAGGGGAGGGGGCCAAGCGAGTCCCGCCCGCCGCCGCCCCCCCGCCCGCCTCACCTGAGCGAGCCCGGCCGGACAAGCGCGGACGGCAGCCGTCGGCAACCGGCTCCCTTTCGTACCCCCCGCCCTGAGCCGGCGCCCTGCCTTCGGCGTCCCCCGCTCCTCTCTGGGACTCGTAGTCCTGGCAGCCCGCGCCGCCGGCGCCGCCTGCTTCCCGGAAACTACCCAGCCCGTCGTCCCCCGCGGCCGCGCGCCTCACCTCGTCCAGGTAAACGCGTCCCCGCCTGTCCTGCTTCCTTCTTTATGTCGCGGCGCCTCAAGGGAAATGTAGTTTTCTGGCTGCGAAGAGGCGCGGGCAGGAATAGCCGCTGTGGACTACAACGGCCAGAGTGCTTTTCGGGCGCGGACGCCATCTTAGGCGTTGCTAGGAAACGGAGATGCCCCTAGCAATAGTGGTAGAGGCGGAGGGAAGCAGATGAGGGAGGGGTTTGTTTATGGGTGTCACGCGGGGGGGGTGCGGGGGTTACACGGACACAAATATATATTTATTCACTGGGTTTTTATATCGGCTTTCTACCAAAAAAATGGAATAGCTGTATTATTATGCTTAATTGTTTAGTATTTAATGAATATTTATAGCAATTCAGTAGCGCGTACCTGCATCACACGCACGCAATGCTATTCGGTTGCTATAAATATCACAGGCTAAGCAATTATGAATAATAATTGCATCATTGATAAACACTGGAATATTCAATTCTGAGCAATTATGCACACAGAAATTGCATTATACTATATTATTTTCATTTGTTAGGGGATGGCAGAAGTATAAATTGAATGCAGTGTTCCAGATTACAAAAAGAAGTTGAAATGATTCCTGCTTATTAAAGTTCGTTTTGCTTTCTTGGGATATTTTAAAACAAATGTGGTTGCAAAAAAGACAGGAGATGAAACAGTTCTAGTTCTCCTTTAAGGATACATTGTGTAATTGGTGGAGAAAAAATGAATCAAGACAAAAATAAAAATGGGAAATGCTTACATTGGCGCTCAGTGGTTGGAGTCATGGTCCTTTTGGACAACTGAAACAAAACTGAAATTAACAATGACACAAATGTAACAATGACACGAATGTAAATATCTGTGCAGCTGCATAAATCCAGACACATCAGTTAAATAATACTGATGGCCTGCAACCATGCTCATTGCTAGGCAGAGAGTGCCAAACCGATGTCTGTATACCAGCCTGAATGGCCTGAATGCTACAAATGATTTACTTTTCTAGAATGGATCTCATCTTTAGTATTCCCTTGACTTGAGCAAAGACAAGAACAAACAAGAACAAAAGCAAGAAGGGCCTTGCTGACTTCCAAGTATTTGCAATCAAGCCAGTTTGAGAGGTCGTCTGGATTTGGGGTGCCACCACAAAGGAGGCTCTGACCTTGTTGTCAGCTACAAAATCTTAGACAGTGGTGGCACTTGGAAGACTGCCATCTTGATATCTTCAAAATATATGGGGAAATACAGAGGCAATGTCCTTTAATGTGCAGGATGTCTAAGCATGACTCGGGACTAGGATATTTGATGGAGTGCCTTGCTTGGCATGAGCCTTCCTACACAGTATGTTCATCTTCTAGGTGCTTCCTCCGAGGAAGGCTTGGAAGGTGGGAAAAAGGGAGAGGGTCTTCCTGGTCACCCCCTCCATGGTCATTTCACACCAAAATTATCTTCCTACCACCAAGTTCAGACCTTTTCTCAAGCATTGGGCAGCTCAGAGTAAGGTTTTAATCCGGTCTTGCATTTTCCTTCTTGTGATTCAAAATCATTCGTAGGGATGTGTCTCTCTCTGTGCGTTTCATATTGGTATGTTTATAATCAATGAAATGTATTCAATGAAATGCAAATTAAATGTCCTTTGAAAAAGGGAGAGGAAGGGTGTTCTTGGGATTCTGCGAGAAAAGCATCCCATAAAGCACACCTGAGCATGGATGTCATACAGGGGACTTCGTGAAAACGCCGTTCTGATCATTTAGAGAAAGGACCGTACCTCAGTGGTAAGGTACCGGGTTTGAAATGCAGACATTCCAAGGCATTTCATTCTCCAGTTAAAAGGCTCAGGTATTCAGTAATGGGAAATACACCATTCTGCCTGATAATCCTTACTTCATAGGAAGAATAAAATGAAACAAGGATGGATGGACGGACTTACTTGGTATAAGACAGCTTCCGGTGCTGTTTGCTCTTTCAGAGCTGCGGTCTTACACATAGTTACTTCAGAACAATTCAGGTTGTAAGGCTAAAACCCTGTGCATGGCTACTTGGGTAAGAGTTGCAGAAATATGTGTAAGAAAATGTGCAAAGAAGCATAGGAACAACTTAGAAAACATACAAGCAATGCCCTTTCTTGGTTTTCCTTTTCCAGCCAGCCAATTAACACACAATGTTCTACCAAAACATTGGTTTTCTCTGTCTTTTTTTAACTGAAGTGCTAAAAAGACATCGCGACGTGAGAATCTCAATCTTCTGATGCGGGAAGAGGATAAGAAAGCCTCAACTGCTTTTTATATCTTGGAAGAATCAAAGGCAGCTTTGAGTTGAAAGATACCTTTGATTTTTCTATGGGAGGGCAGGGCAGGAAAGGGGTGCGTGGAGGAAGAGATTAAATGGGCAGCTGAGAGAGAGCAGGGAATCCTTACTGCCTGGCTGGTTTGTTCTTACAAAATGTAGCTTTTCCTGGAGGCAAAAAAACTGAGGCCTTCAGTTGCCGGTTATCATGGAGCTTTTTACACCATTGTTATCTGAGTCCGCTGTTTTCAGCACCGGCTTTGTTCTTTTGCATGCAAGTTATACCACGAGGTACTACAGGACTTTATTTTATCCCCATGCTGTTTAACATCTACAAGAAATTGTTGGGAGAGGTTATCCAGAGCAATGGGCTCAATGCCCTTTGCACATTTTACTTCTTTTCCAAGAAATAAATAAAATAGAATATAATAAATAAAATAGTAAAGAAAATAATAAATAAAATAAAATAAATGAAACAAAATGAAATGCACCTGAGCCTAGCAAAGTAACAACAGGTAAAATAAATACAATACTGAAATTGAAAATTTAGGGGAGCAGCTTGAAACATGACTAGAAAGAGGCATTGCGTCCCCTCAACATTTCTTCCGCCATCTGCATACCTGGCTTTCAGACAACAGGAAAGCTCCATATTTGGCCAAATCTTCCCAGAAAGCAGTTAAGATCTCAGGAGAAAGCCCAGCGACAGCCTTACAGATATTTTAATAAACTAGTTTATTCGTCTTGTGCTCTACCGAGCAAAATTTTAATTATCTGTGTAATGAGGCTAGGACAGATTTAAGTGTTTTCTTGCCTGTCTTTTCGGAAACTGTGATAGATGATTCTCACATGCAGCACAAGTACGCCATTTTTGTCCTGATCACGTACGTAGCCATTCCAGTGCGGTTTCAACTATAGCCAGCTTTTCGACAGGTGCGCCCCACAAATTAACAGGTCTTGGGAGAAGTGGGCAAGAAACGCGCCCGGGTAATGTATCTGAAGTCAATACTCCTCACTCTGCAATACTTTCTGTTCAAGAGAGCCGCGTGTTGATCTTAACTGGAGCTTCTGCATGCAAAGGTCATGTTCCACCACTGAATTACGGCTCCCCCTAAAGGAGGGCATCAGATGGGCAGTGAGGAGAGCTTGCAAGGAGAACACGGGTGCCTTCAAAACACGGTGCCGGAGGAGGAGCCTGCGAATTCCCTGGGCCAACAGAAAGAAGAACGAGTAGGTGCTAGATCAGCCTTCCCAGCCTGGTGGCCTCCAGAAGCATGTGGACCGCAGCTCCCAGAATCCCCATCCAGCAGGGCCCTTCCCTGGGGATTCTGGGTGTCGCCTGCAAACGAGTCTGGCAGGCATGAGGTTGGGAAAAGTTGTCCTCGATGAGATCAAGCCAGAGCTTTCCCTAGAAGCAAAAATGGCAAAGCTGAGGCTGTCCTACTTTGGACACATCATGGAAAGGCAAAACTCCCTGGAGAAGATCAGCATGCCAGGGAAAGTCGAAGGCAGATAAAGAAAAGGAAGACCAAATAAGAGCTGGATGGACTGCATCAAGGAAGCCACGGCCTTGAATTTACAAGAGCTGAGCTGTCAGGTGGGACACTGGAGGGCTTTGGATCAGAAGGTCACCATATGGAGATGACTGGACTGCACATGACATCGGCACCAAGGGGGGCTCCTGAGACGCAGCGTAGGCCGCGAACCTTCCTCTTGGCACATGCACAGTGGCCGCCCCACGGGCGTGGGGGTCTCTGCGTTGATTAAGCCCCAGGCTGTTCTCCAGGGGCTGCAACGGTCAACTTCATTAGCAACACTGAGATGCAGCCCTGGAAAAATATCCTCACCGCGGTGGGGTTAATTATTTCTGGGTGGTGGTTCATTTCCTAGAAGATGAGGTGGGAGCATCGTTCCGCCTTGAGATGGAAGCATTTCCTGATTCATTAGGTGATGCCAAAGCACATGTGTCAACAGCCACTGGCAGGAAAACCGGAGCGATAAGACTAATATCACGGTCCCACCAGAGGGCCTAAATGGATTTCGGAGGCCCAAGAGACTCCACTTCCTTCCATTTTCTTATCTCTGCTCTCTGGCTTGTAGCCCAACTTTATCCACCAATGAGGAGAGTTGCCCGTTTAGTTACATCTCTCGGCGTGAAATTCACGCTGCTGGAAAGGGGCTTGTGATTTTCCTGAACACTCAAGCCTTGTTCAGCTTCTTCACTTTGCTTGAAATATTTCGAGTTTCACCTTCTGTGCCATTTGCACTCAGAGAAAGGTGTTAAAACTCCAAGCACAAGAAGACCCGGCCACGACGTGCCGCGGTCCCCGTGACAAAACATCAGCACCCGAGCGACTTAAGCACCTGTGTGAGGAGAAGATAAGTATAATTTACTGGTGTGCTGATTTAGCTATTAAATTATGGCAGGGAATCATGTAAAATGCCTTTAGACTCCTAAACCATCTTCTGAAACCAGAGCAAAGCCACTCGGTCCAAGGAGGATGATCCTCTGCAGACTACGGTTGGCAGCTAAATCTCATGGGGAAATCCCGTAGGAACTTGCG